ATAATTTTAGGTATTTATCTGAATGTTTAAATTTCCTTCGCAAGTTATTAGGAAAACTTTGATGATACGTAAATGATTTTCACTCGTGTGATATCTCGTTGAAAATATCCAAGTGGGATAAAATGTATTAATTTGAAATTATAATTTTTATATTCTCGACCATCTAATATCGACACTAATATTTATTTTTGATTGAATAAGATCTAATCGAGAAACTGTTTAAGAATTCTCGAATTTTGTTAATTACTTTCTTATCAAGAATTTTTCGAATTCTGTTTATTACTTTCTTAATTTAATTTTAAAAACTTTCGAGACTTGTACCATTCAAGAATAAATAAACACACATACTATGCTCTTTAAGTTTTTCTGTATTATTTATTGTTGTAAAATTTATCTTAGTGAAGTTAAATATAAAAAGAAGAGTTTTAATATTTTATTAAAATTATAAAGCCGACCTGTTTTTTTTACGAGATTAAGAACTTGCAACTTGTTGTAAGTTTAATTTCCACCGGCTGTTTTATTCCATCCATTTTTTTGTTGGAAATACACATGCAAGGTTTACACGAAATGAAAGTTAATGTCGATCTAGCGATTGCGCCAAGTTTACATGCGGCCAAGGGTAAAAGAGTAAGCGTAAAAGGGGGATAGTAGCTGCAATGCAACGATATGGCTCGTCAAGATCGTCAGTAATGATTAGACCCAGGGTTGTAATGTGCTGGCACGTTTAACGTCCATACGTTGTTATTACTGCTTATTATTTGTCCGTCGTCCGTGGACGGTGCATCGGATACGACAATGACAGGGGTGGCATTCGATGGCATTGTTTACACTGGGGAACGCTGCGTGACACTAACGTACCAGCGAAGAACTTTAATTATCATTATTCTTGCAAAAACATTTTTTATCGATTAGAACATCCGATCTACTAATGATCGTTATCGCAATTAGATTAGACACTCGAGTTAAATATTAGGCGAAGACGTGTTTCAAATGTTTTCTTAATAGTTATTAATCGTCAGTTTCTTCTTTTAAATTAAACGTAAAAGCGAATAGACGACGAGACGCGACGCAGTCGTAAAACTCCGATTTTACAGCGACGGAAATTACATAACGTTTGTAACGATGACTCGGGAGACGTCGCAGAAATCGAAGCAGAAGGATTTCTTCTCATGACGCAGCTGATTTTACAGGCCGTACGAGATTGTCCCCCTCCTCCGCGATTGCATTAGAATGCTCGCTTGTAGATTAAACAACGCTAATGATCCGTATCGCGATCCCGTTAGGACTAACTCGTCTCCTCCGTTGTCTTCTGCTTCCGCTTCACGCGCGTAGCCGAGAGAATCTTTGCCTCGGGAAAGTACTCCATACATCGTTTTACAACTTGTTCCGTTGATAATCGATCAATTTATCTCGTTTTATATTTTACTCGAAGAATTTTTTTCAAATGAAAGAGAATCCATTTTTGGGAAATTAAATCGAAATAGAATAAAAACTTGACGATTAATATTTTTCTAATCGTCAGGAAATGAATAAATTTTAATCAAATTGAAATATCTAATTTTAAGGCTATAATATTTTATTATTTTTTAATTTTCCCTAAATAATAAAATTAGATCGAATTTGGAAAATCTCTGAGAAAATAGCATTTAAAGTCTACAAGACAAAAATGAAAGAGAACACATTTTTGGGAAACTAAATCTAAATAGAATAAAAAATTGATAATTAATATTTTTCTAATCTTCAGGAAATGAATAAATTTTAATCAAATTGAAATATCTTATTTCAAGATAATAACATTTTTTTCAATTTTTTAAAATAAAATTAGGTTCAAGTATCTCATAAGTATTCTACAGAATAAAATTAGACCGAATTTGGAAAATCTCTGAGAAAATAGCATTTAAAATCTACACAAGAGAAAAATGTTTAAAAGCCACTTGATAAAACTAAATGTAAAAAATCTGAAAAAAATCAAGACTTTTTGAAGAATACTTGATTTTACCAGGAAGAGAACACAAAAGATATATTTATAGTAATATGTAAGATGTAATAGAGTAACAGGGAAAATAAAGCACACACTTGCAAAGTAATAAGACGAATTTGCTATTAGTATAAGACGCGGAACGAGAATAGCTTAGTAGTCGCTAACGACTAATTATGCGCCTAATTGCGCGACGCATTAAAACGGTCGGGAGAAAAAAAAGAGTAATGATAATAATAATAATGCAATTACGAATTATCCGGAGAAAGCAATTACGTCCGGCGCAATTACAACGACGCGCTCGTTACAACGTTAACAACCGATGTTGTAACACGATAGATTACCGCGCAGCCGCGCGAATGGAAAATGTCTTGGAGCTTGTCAGAACTTTCCGGCCTTGCGGTCTTACGATTAATTACAAATAATTAGCGGATAATTTCGCGGTGAACGAGATAACGGTACAAGGGCGTATGCGCCGCGTATCGACCATTGTTTGTGCGTGTAAACCTAGGCGCATTGTTGCGGTGCATCCTGCCGACTAGTCGATCTCGTTGTCTTCCCTCTCCAAACTCTCTGACTGATGCATCGATTCATCTCTTCAAATAAAGAAGAAGATGCTGCGCATTTTCGCGATCGGCAAAATTTCGCGCGATTTGTCTACAAGGTGCTTCTAAATATGTGCAAAAAATTTTAGCCAGCGACTTCTTGAAAAAATTTCATACATATTAATATCCTGAAAGTCCCTTTTTAAAATTTTAATATTTTAAATTTGGCAAAAATTACCCCGGAAATCACCTGTCGAATTTTTTCACGCACATGTTTACAGGAACATGTTGTATAATGCGTTTACCGCTATTTAAACCGTATTTACGCCGCTTTTAGCGAATGATTCACATCGCGGGAAAGTTTGCCGGTATCATGTCCGAGATGTATCCTGTTCTTCTCGCGAGTCATAGTACCTCGCTCTCGGCTCTTATTGTTTCTCCTCGGCGTAGGATCGCGCCGATAATGCTTGCGTGATTCGCACGCTCTGACGACGATGCGATGTCGCGGTATTCCCGGCGCCGACGGTAATGACCGCGCCGTCGTAATTGTTTTAAATGCCAACGAGACGTTTACGCGAAAGTGCTATGTGTGCGTGAAATTAGAGGAAGTATGTAACCTTTTTAGTCGAGTCCTAGCGAAGATGAGTAGATCAAACTTTACGAATGCTAATTAATTTAAGGGGTTATGCCTAATCATGAAAGTAAAAAAAAAACTGATTTTTATGTTTTTTACATTTCCTTAATCAAGTATATCATATTGAAAATATTCCCTAAAAGTTTTAAATTATTCATATGCAAATTGACGAAGTTATAAGTGTATGTTTCACGAAGCGCCAGAATGTATAACTTTGTTTAAACACGACTATAAAACTTTGATGTTTTGAGGGCTAGTAAGCCAATATATGAAAGTTTAAATAAACTAAATATATATGGGCCCGAAATAGAGGATTCTGTGTAAATTTAAAAAATCTGCATTTTATTTAAACGTAAATTTGATACAAATTTTAAACGCATTTTTTTCGAAATCATTTTTTCACAGTCGGTGAGCGAGATATTTTGAAAACTGTTACACCGATTTTCTTGAAATTTTACAGGCTTCTTGTACATATAAAAATTTAGTAGATGAACGAAGGATTTTCTTTAATAAATACTTTTTTTACTTAATAAAAAATAAGCAACTTTTAAGTCAAAGAAGAATATCTTAGTCAAATGGTTGCCATTTTGTCCCAAAACAATTTATTGATTAATCCTTCGTTCATCTATTAGACAATTTCATATATTCACTACAGTTTATCGAATTTTTGATATCAGATGAATCAGTTTCGAATAGCACTGCTCATCACGCAGCGCTTTTTAAAAAATAATATCCGGGAGAATAGTTATAACTTTTACATTTTTTAATATTTCATTTTAAAAAATATATAAGAACATCCTTAATATTGGTACTTTTGAATAAAAATTGATTTGTAAAAAAAAATTATTACACTTCAAAAAAAATTCCCAAACATTATACCTTTTTCCATCTGTTGATTAGGCATAACCCTTAAATCTTACACTATAATTCCTCAAATTATTACAATACAATGATTTACAATACAGTGATAAACTTGACAATAAATCTCATAAAATATACGTGTCTTTATTTTTCCCTCGTTTTTGTATTAGATTTTTTAATTTAATGAAATACATACAACTTTTTACAACAAATTGATCGTTTAAGAAAATTTTTCGCGAATATTCACGAGCAAAAGTTTTTTGATATCACGCGAATCTTCTTTACTATAACGCATAAGAATCCTGGCGGAAGAAGAGGGGAATTGGCAATCGTCCTCGATGGCTTTAATTATCTTAAGTATCTTTCACGTAAAAGCTAGATTTGTATTCGCAGCGTGCTTGCAGACATTTAAACGCATTTAGAACAGTCGTGAGTTTTTCTCCATTGAATTATTCATATTCTCTGCAGGGTGCTTCGTATATATCAAGCTTGCCTCGTTTCTGTTGGAACACTTTAGTTTCGCTAATGAAACTTCTGATTTCGTTTCGCTTAATATATATCATTTGTATGCTTTATGATACTTATTATTTTACTGATACTCCGCTTCACGAGCAAAACTAGAAAACGGATTTAATATATCATAGAGAGAAAGAAAATAGCATATTTGTATTAAACTCATTCGTTGTAACATCGTTACTTTTCTCTAATGTTGGCATCGCGATTAATAATTTATATGTTATAATTATTATTTCGATCAAAGGAAAAAGCGTTACTAATTAATGGAAGGTTTCGTGTTACACTTTCGATATTATGCGCGATGATTGCGAAACTGTTCCGATTATTCAAACAGTGTATGACTCACGTGGTAATATCTTTCAACCGTAGTCGTTTATATTAAATATATTATCTCATTATTAGCGAAGCAAAAAGTTCCATTTAAAGCTATAATGCAATTTAACAAGTGCATTTGTTGCGTATGCAGGTATCTCGAGGAAATGGGACTGGTAGAACGAGAAGCCGAGATGCAAGAACTGAACGCTCCCAGGCCCGGAAGATCAAGAGACCTCTTTGGCGTTCAATTGGAGGTAAGATTCAGCGAGCAATTAACTCACTAGGCCGAAACGCGTACGAAAGATTACATAAATTGTGCGATTAAATTAATTCCTATGTTTGGCGAGTTCTCGAAGATCGAAACGAGATCGAAAAAGAGGAGCGAGCGTAACTTAATACGCGATCTCCGATATCCTTGACGAGGGCGAGAATACATTCGATCCGGAATTGGTTGCCCATTCACTCGAGAGCACGCTGATTGACTTCAATGGTCACTTTTGCCCGCGATCCTAGTGTAGGCCAGTGAGAGGCCCGACCCAGAAAGCTCATGTCGGTTCCGATACAGCAGCCAGTCATCTGAAACAGAGACAACCGAGGAAAGTTCGTTTACTGTACTCTCTTCCCTGTCACGACGATCTGATAATTGCACCTTTCTCCGCTCTTCTCGGATCAATGGACCGTGTACAAGATGCTAGTAAAGTCAGCTATTACCAGTATCAGGCTTTGGAAATTTGTTTTCCAATCATGTTTTTTTATCTATCATTTCTCTGCTTTCTATCCATTTTTGCTTGAATTAGACTAAATTATTGAATAATTATTTTAAAATAATTTAGTCTAATTCAATCAAAAATTCAATCAATAATTATTCTTAAATAATTATTCAATAATTTAGTTTAATTCAATCTAAAGCATTAATTCAAAATAAAGAAGCCATTCAGCTAAAAAGATCATTAATTCAGAAATATATGTGTAAATTATTGTATGCGACAGCTATGTTATATTATAGAGAAGAGAGAAAGAGAACAAATGCAGAGAATGAACAGAACAATAGAGAAAGAAACACTGTTGGAAAATAATTTTAAAGACAAAATTGTGCAGTAGCAAAAAATTTCATTGTAATAAGGAAATTACATTTGAAAATTGATACGAGGGATGGAAACATTGCACGCATAGAGTTATATAGGAGACAGAAATGGAAAGGCGGAACTATAATTATGCAGTAATTAGTGTACGAAGCTGAACGATCATAAACGAATGACGTAATAACTACAGGTTAGCGGCAGTCATGCGACGAAATTTCGCAATTTATCGAACAATCGTACGTGCATTGGCGCGGCCAGCATTTTAGCATTTTAATTCAATGACAGCTGAAGAATATGATTAGTGCAATTTTCAACGCTCTGTCGATATTATCAGCAAATTTATAACGACTATTAGCTTAATCTATATTTACAACAAATCGACGTTTACAATAAATTTTTATAATTCAAAAAATGCAACAAAAACAGAATAATTCTCTCTCGCGAAGGCATTGAATCCCGTTTAACCTTCAGTACGTTTCTCATAATTTACACATAGTCGATACATGTTCGATCATTCTCGGTGCGCGCTGTCATCTTTGCGAAATGACATTTACTCAGAATATCGCGCTATCAAGAGGAAAAAAACGGACGCATTTCGCAAGTTTTGCACACTTGTGTCACAACCCGGTTACGGTCCCGTGAATCCTGGATCGTTTTCACTTTTGCGCTAATCGCAAAGAATGATGTATTGTAATTGTCGTATAAAATCGGAATTATATATTCAAAGATCTAGTATCTTGTTTAATTCTTGTACATTCTTTTCTGCTGATTTGTTTTTATCGTTAGAAGGTAGATTCTGATCTTTCCTCATAAATTCAATTACGTGACAAATCAAAGTAATTTTGTACAAATTATCTTGTATTATGTATATGGACATTACAAGTGCCGTATTGCATATGGATTGTTTCCATAACGATGTAACACAGTATGTTACACGAAGTACGTATAACGGAATGAATCATTCATGTGAATACGAGCGATATCAAACATCATACTGCGCTTTGTTTTCTAAATGATGAGCCATTATTCAAGCAGTTTGATTCCGGTGGCATAAATAAAGATTGATTGTTCAATATGTGAATAATCTGATTATAAAAAAAAAAGAAAGTACATTTTCATCAATCAGATTACGTAGTTGTATAATTATAAATAATTATATAATTATAAAGATTTTTATTTTTATATAATTATAAAGATTTATTTGTCAAGATCTTATGTTCGATAATTTCATCTATTACGAATAATTCAATCATTCTAAAAGCTATCCACGAAATTTGGAGACAATTTAACTAACACAACTGAGATCACGAAGCAACGTATAAATGAGTTATGATAATGCTTCTGAAGATAAAAAGAAGAAGGCAAAGAACGCGAGTGAGCGATTAGCGTAGGTATTTAGGGACTCTTTACATGCGAACGGGCATGACTAATTAAATTAGCCGAGATGACGTGTTTCAATTACGTGTCTTTTTCCGCTTTAGATGCACGATTGGCGACATTAGATGTTAAATAGTTAAATGTTGTTGAAGCTGGCGGTTTCATGCGCGCAAATCACATTCGCTTAAAAGCGATCAAGAGATTTCGCTCTCTTCTTAACTCTCCTTTGCTAGATTTCTCCAGACTTGCCGGTTAATTTGCTTCATCGCGGATAATATTATCCGTTTCGATCGTAGCAATGTTCCGACATAACAGAATTGCGGTCGAGAGGATCGTTGAGTTAATGGAAAGCGAAATTAAGGATCGTACTTTGCCGCTGAATGAATCGACGAGTAGCCGATTGCTTGCTTGAAATGAATCGATCATTTCGAAAATGAGATATAATTTAACTCTTTTTCTCGATCCTTTGCCTGGGAAAATAAAAGTTATTAATTATTAATGCGCAGAGTTATATACAAGTATAAATGTGTATAAATTAACGTGTTGTATTAAGAAACTCGTTAATTACAATGAGATATCTTCCTCAGCATCTCAAAATTAGAATTCCGCGTGTCGGTGGCCTAAGCATGTCAATGTACAATCGCACATACTTAGGGTCATTACTTGAAAGCAAAACCGCGAAGGATTCTTGAAGTAATTACGCGGTTGCGTGCTGGGATTTAGTAATTAAAAAAAAGCGAAGCTTTCAAATGTCTACAGAGAGCTTATGCCTCGTTATGTCATTTTCTATGTGTGTATGCAGAGATTTTAGTGTAACATTGCCTTTAAATGTGTATAGTCTCTAGTTACATAAGTATTTTCCTGTATCCTGAGATAGAATACGTTGCGGCCAAATATCGTCGTAAACGTACACAGAGAAAAATGTATACTGTATTCAAGTAAATATTATTTATTTTAAGTATATTACAAGTTTGTATATCCGCACATATACCATAAGCTCATCGCAAGCATTAAATTTAATTGAATATATTCTGAATTTTAATAAGTGCAATATTTTAATCGAGAATATTAAATTAAAATAAAAATTTGATTTGCTTACTACATAAAGTTGGCGTAAAGTAAATTGGATTTTTCTTTGACACAATTTTACAATATTCTTGAAGAGAAAATAAATTCTTCTTTCATATACATGATAATGAGATTTTCTAACACTTGGAATGAGTATATTTTAAGTCTATTGTCAAGAATATATTTGTTGTTGAAGAAAACTATTATTTAAAAAAAGAAAAATAAATTGAGTAATCGCTTTTCTTGACAGTAGAATGATATTTTTTTCTGTATAAATCGAAAACAATTTTTCAATCTTTAGATTTCTTATCTACATTTCATATATCTGCGTTAGTTTATATTATTCTTTAAAATACTCTTTTTTTTCTCGTCTTTTATCGTCGTAAACGTATACAGAGAAAAATGTATACTGTATTTAAGTAAATATTATTTATTTTAAATATATTATAAGTTTGTATATTCGCAAATATATCACAAGTTTACCACAAGCTTTAAATTTAATTAAATATATTCTGAATTTTAGTAAGTGCAGTATTTTAATTAAGAATATTAAATTAAAACAAAAATTTGGTTTGCTTATTACATAGAGTTGACGTAAAGTGATTTTTTTTATACAACTTTATAATATTCTTGAAAAGAAAATAAATTCTTTTTTCGAGTACATGATAATGAGATTTTCTAACACTTGTGATGAGTATATTTTAAGACTATTGTCAAGAATATATTCTTTGTTGAAAAAAACTATTACTTAAAAAAAGAAAAATAAACTGAGTAATCGCTTTTCTTGGCAGTAGAATGATGTTTTTCTCTGTGATATATGCGAGTGCAAAGATTTTATGCAATCCCCAGTGCTACCAGCATTTTATGGATCCTACGAAGGGTGCCTGCTCGAGTAAAGTGATAAAATATCGATAACAATTTAATTACGCGGTAATTGAGCGATTATGCATAAAATTCGATTTAACAAAACATTCATCCAGTCACGATAAAAGCAATCATTTTATTTTCCTGATCTCTCAACTTGGCGCAAGGATGCGCGATTACGATAGATGGATAATAACTCGGTGCCTTCATAATCAGCATCGTATCGCAGCGATCTTTAATAACCAGAGTCAGTGTACCAAGAAGTTGCGCAATGTTTTATTTCGACAGACGGCCAAGTCCATTCCGTATCCGTTTTACGATGCAACTGTCAGCATTATTTGTCATAAAGTGGAAAATTTAATAGAATTGTAGTTCATATTTTAATATATATTTAAGTGTAGAATACTGAAATAAATTCGTGTCTGCAGTGAGCGTGAAGATAAAATGACAATATAAGGACAACCCTTATTGAATATAAATATTTTTGGGCGATATAATCATAGCAAGATGATTAAAACATTTGTTAAGAAAATATATAATAAATAAGTAGTTGTAATTATATATTTTTGGAAAGTAATAATGCGAATTTTGATTTCTTTTCTTAAGACGATCGGAATTTTGTCGACTAAAGTTTGATCCCTGATCAAGTTTGTTTCGACACTTGTGTGTCGCCTTGACTTGACTCGACTTATCGAAGTTTGTTCATACTTGTAAGATAGTTTAGACTGCGAGCATTGTACTTCGACGACGGACATGTTTCCTCACACGTCCTGATCTCAGAAGCGTTCGGAAACTTCCGGCGATCGCGTGAATATAATCGACACGCTACGCAATCACGATTTCCGACTGATAGCGGACTGAAAGATTCTCCAAGGAAGTTCTGATTATCTCTCGAAAAACTTTTCGGGCTGAAACAAAGCCACGTGACTCTTCAAGTCTCTTCTCTCGAGGACCTCTAGAGACATTCGATTGAACAATCGAAGTGGCGAGACTTTATTAAAGTGAAGCAAATGTAACCATTTGTGTGCAACTTACTTGTTGAAGTAAATTCTCAGCTTTATAAGCACGTAGAAGGAATGGAATTTTCACTTGTAAAGAAATTTCTTTTGTATTTTCCGAAACGATATCTATTGGCATATGTGTAGAATTCGAAACGTCTGCAACTCATTGTCAGTTTGAGCTTTTCGTGACGCAATAAAATTTTATTGTACACAGAAAGAAAATAAGTGTCAAATCATATACTTAAACTAACGCGTTCATTGTTTCGTATATACGCAACAATTTATAATCTTCTTAGAAGAATTTAATAATTTTAACTTTTAATTAATATTATAATATCTTATTATAATATTAATATCTTATTTTAATATTGTAATTGTCAAGAATATATAATTATTTAATTTTACTTTAAGATAATTATAATCTTTGATTTAAAAATGTTATTTTCTATCTAATATTGTGTCTTTTACATTCAAGAAAATTAAATCTTAAATCATAAGAATATATTTTTCTCGATTAAATTATATAAAATTTCATTCAAGTAAGCAATTGAATTTTTCTTTAATTAACACAATATAATTTCATTTCAAGATTTCCATATTAAAACTAAATATATTTTCAAAACGAGAATGTCCTTTCTTTCTGTGTACATTATGTAGAGATAGTTCTCGACCAATTTCTAAAATATAGCATACTTTGCGTGAAAACTATATGTTAAAAAGATTTAGGCAAGTTACAATTCGCTAAACGAAATATTTTATTTTTCTCAGAATGCAGGAAAGTCTATTCTTTTTTTATATAAGTTTTTTACTTACAGAAATATTACACAAATTAAGAATTATTTCTGTAATGGTATATAATGGTGCGTGATGTATCAATTTCCGTTCTGTTGTTCACATGTTGGACGGTAGAACATGAGGGAAATATAAACTTGTTAGTAGAAAATTATAATTTCATTATCGCGTATTTTTTTGATTTATCGCTGAATGTTACGCCGCCTCCTGATGTACAGGATAAGATAAATTTTAAATTATTATACGCAAAGGTGCACATCGTGATGTACTTGTAAATACTGTTTGAATCGAATTCACTTGTACCGCCTGTGAGACTCGATATAATTTAATTTCTAACTAGTATAAATATTTTACTACTATAAAGTCTAATTTCTCTTTACTATAAAGTCTAATTCTTGTATGGCTACTAATATCCACATAGATCCTGATGATAATGTAATTATACATATATAGTAATATATTTCGATAGAAAAAACAATATATATAATTGTCTTCTATCGCGATTATAACTGATAAATATTTATTATATAGTTGATGATTAATTAATTTGTTGGGTTGTCACAACAACGATAGATAATTTTATGTTGAATATATTCGATTCTCTTTTCCTATTTGTTATATATTATTTTATTATATTCTTTTATTTTTATAAATATAATATTTTCTGCGCACAATGTATTTACATCCACAGTTCCTTTATTCTTTTAGCACATTTCTGGCCTTTCCCTTTTATCATATTTTTCTTTTTACCATCCTTTTACCATCTTTTCACCATTTCTCTATTGATTTATGTCGTTTGGGCTTGCGCCTCTCATACTTTAATTTATTTTATTGATCCTTCTAATTTCATTTTAATCATTCCATATTTACTGTCAGATTTCTACTTTCACGAAAAAAAGTAAATGCTTATGAAAAAAAAAAACATAGAGAGATACGCATAGCGTAGAAAGGAGAAAGGATAAGGGGGAATGTAGAACGCATCTTGGCAATATCTCTTACAATTTTACCCTAATGATCTCGATGGGGAACCGGTTAATGATGGATCGATTAAGAAGAACTGCACGACACGCATTCGCGAACGCATCTCGCAAGCTTCCACCTCTTGTCGCGAATTCGCGCACGTATCATCCGGCAATAATAATTTATACAATCGCATAAAGGGAGGAGAAGCGCTCTCGCAATTATGGAACGCATAATTTCGCAGGCGCGATATCCTTCGTAGAGCGCAGTGAGCTTAGACGAGTCGTTATCTATGCGGCTATCTTCCCGGCTCGGGCGCGTATGTGTACGCACGTGCGACACGCATGCACGCACGTGACGAGTTATCCGTGTGTGAATGCAGCACAATGATTTACGTGTGCACGTGCGTGAGCACGTATCTGCACGCGTCGTTGCGTACGAGAAGAGATTCGCACGATGCATCTCGTGCGCGGACGAAAGCGAATTCGTTATAAACGTAAATGCAAACATGCGAGAGAGCGCCATTTTTTCGGAGCGTTTAGAACGAATATACACTTCTTCGGTCTTGTTCTTTCACTTTTTATATTCGAAATTAATATTTTTTAATAGAAAATATAAACAAGAAAGTGCTACACGAGTAAAAGGAGTTTCAAAATTTAATATAATTATTGTAATTATTGTCTTTTTTTGTTTACAAAAGAATGCATAAGTTTTTACTATTATCTCGTCTTTTATTGTCTATTTGAGATTATTAATAATTTTGTTTTTTAAACTTGTCGAAAAAGTGATTATTCGATTATTTGTTTTTGTATAAACAAGAAGATATAAAAGAGAGATAAGAAATAGAGTCAACAGGCTCGATCGGTAGTTGATGAAGAAAACAGAAGATCTGAATACCAACGTGCGATTGCTGAAGGAAGAACTGTATTGCCATGAGTTGATATAGTCTTACGTTGCAATATTCCCTCTTTTATCGAATGCGTTCTCGGATGATAAAAATAACAGATTCTTCCTTTGCGACTGGAGCAACAGCAGGAAATTAACCAGCATGGAAAGCTCTTTTTTTTAAATAATTTTATTACCTTTAAACCTAGGACAGAAACTTTGAAAAATTGATATTTTTTTACAAAAAAAGTCATGCTGTGTCTTTTAAAATTTTATAGGGTGACAAAGGGTTTTCTAGAAAATCATTTTTTACCTTTTACATGATAAAGTCTGTAAACTCCTTTGTTAGAATTTGTACCAGCATCTAAAAGTCTACATCCTTCAGATAACGAACTATTTTTCGAGAAAATCAGTATGATGGCTCAAAATACGATAGATCAAATATGCTTGAAGTGTTGCAATAATTTGTTGTCAATTGTAGTGTTAAACAATGTTAATTTTATTATCAACACATTCTCAGTTGCACTACAGTTCAAGTATGTATTTGATAAGAGATAATTCACAGTTCAAGTATGTATTTGATAAGAGTAATTTCGTAAAACAAATATACTAATAATAGAATTGTTGGATATTTTAACAGAATCAATAACTGTTAACGACTAATTTATAATTATTGTTTATGAGAGGAGGGAATATACAACAATAATATATAACTATTAATTATATTATCGTTAGACATAAAATACGAGATATTAATCTTCTTTTGGAAAGGAATTTTTCTCTCTCTCTTTTTCGATCGCTATTTCAAAATTTGACATTTCGACTTATATGTACTTACATGTACGATTAACAATAGATGTGATGTATCGAACATTTACTTATTGAAATGCTATTTCAGGTCACTTCGTTACTCTTGGAAGGAGAGCGCCGCAAATTGGCAGTCTTGCAAAGGGAATTGCAAGTAGCCCTCGAGGAAGGCGGAAGCGTAAAGGTGAAGGAAAAACAGCGACAGGAATTACTTCACGCTATATCGTAAGTTTTCTTTAAAAATCCCTTAGCGTGTAAACTCATAGATATTACTGATATATCTCAGAAACGAAAATATTTGAAAATCAGCATATGTGAAATTCTTTTCTAATTTAGAATGCTGTACATGGTTTTTCACATAATTCAATTATTTCCTTTTAAACAGTTTTAATACCGGGTGTTTTCTCGCGTGTGTGTGTGCTGGTACATAATATTTTAAAAATCTTTTCACGCGTAATAATTTTTCTCTCTAGAAAAAGTTTTCATATACATTATGTATGTATATAATGACAAGGAAAATAATTTTATGTACAGAGGAAGCTTTTTCGAATAACGGATTCACTAAGAGGCAGATAAAACGCGAACTAAACGCGAACTTTACGTTAGAACCGACTCCCATGGGAGCTTAACTTGTAAAAGATTTAACGCGGGCGGTGCCGTGACGGAGTAACAATTTTATCGCAGCACTTTTACACTCTCATCAGAAAATATTTCATCGCGTTACCCTTAGCATACTCCTTAGCATAATGCTCAAGCGAACATAACGACCGAAATTACTTCCTAACGAAGCTTAACTCATTAATACTAATTGTAAGGTTTAAACTTTTCAGTTTACGGGATATACAAAATTACAAAGTGTTCCGCAACTTTTACATTAACGTATCGTCGCGCGTAAAGTTCAATTTCGCGACTCATCGTAAATAGTTCGCATTCGACTCCATAATGAATCGACTCGGAAGTGGAAGCACGACGCGGTTCCCAGGGGCCCTGCTTTACCTTATTTTGCAAATGCTTTCGGAATTATTCCCGTCCCCTCGCGTTATATAAACGGACGAGAGGCGCTGGAGCAACGTTCTGAGAAAGGGTACAGGTCAGCGGGATGCCAGACTCCTTTATTTCACGCGTACTAACGGCCAAGTTGTTTGCGCAGCTACCGTCTCCTCGCGTTTGCGGTATCCCACGTCGTGTTTGCACAAGCCGGCCCTCTCGTAGCCGGCTAGCTCCTTGATTATGCAGCACTGATAAATTTATGAGACAGCGGATATCGCTAGAACTTTTATCGACCTTATCTCCGATGTGCATTTAACGAGATCGCTCCGGAAGCACCGTACTTGATGATCTTTTTTGCAAGGTTGAGATCCGAGGTTTAGCTTGTGCATCGGTCAAATTTTATCGAGGTGACAACGATTCATTTTTTCAGAAATTATTAACTAAGAAGAATTATGAGATCAAAGTGTAATAAATGCAAAATTTCATATCGATAAAAGTGCCTTTTACATATTCATTATTTCGGGATTATTCTACGATGATATATTCCTACCATGGTCGAGGCAAGAGAAATTGCGTGAAGGAAAAGAAAGGTTCTCGGGTCGTGGAACCTAGATACTTTGCGGCGGAAATCGAATGCGTAACCTTTGCTTAAATCGATTCGACGGTAGTGCGAAAATTCCTTTGAAGAGAAAGTCTAAAGGAAAAAAAAAAAGGGAGTCTCGATAACGCTTATGCAAATTTGCTCGATAAAATATGTATAAAATATGTATAATGTTCTAGCATATTATGTGAAATATTAAATTGAAAATTATATTTATAATAAATTTTTTGCCTGCGATAGATATGATAGTCATCGAAATAAATCATACATACATCACAATCGATATATTGTTTGCCATCAAATCTTTAAACAAAATTTTTAAACAATCTTGATTTTTACCAGAAAAGTATTTAAAAGTATTATAATATAATGTAATAAATATGTTGAATCAGCTTAAATAATAAATTCTAGACAACGATTTCTTTAATTCTTTAACAGATAGGTGGGATGTGTATGTTTTAAATATTTTGCATAATTTCGTTTATCTACAAAGTCTAATTTTCTTTCGTGAGAAAGAAATAAAACAGTTATATTATATAAAAATACTTATATTGTTTAATAATTTTTGAGAAATGTTAAAAAATTTTTATTTTAATGCTGGATATTAATAATTTGGAGAAATCTACATTTAAAAAAAAATATCTAAATCTCTAATATCGTGAAAATCTGAAAAAAAATACAATTTTTCACATTCATAATGCAGTCTTGAAATATTGAGTAACATGATGGATATCAATATTGGCTGATATTTTATATTCATTTAAATTTTTGATATTTTACATTAAATTCTAGATAATGCCTTAAAATATATAAAATATCATTTAATGCTGCTAACACCTCTACGGGTTCTCTCGACGAGAGCATTTCCTATACAGTGCGTTATTAGCAAAGTCTTTGTAAGGCAAGATTAGCATGTTATCGCTGTAGCTCGTTGTACGTTGTTTGAGGGTCCTGCAACCGCTTTCAAAATCAGCTCAATCGACAAAAAAGCCCATGCGATACCTTGCCCGTGCAATTAATTCCCTTCCGAACTTTACTGCACCGTCAAGTTTCGGAGAATTTCCGGAATAGACGCGGAACTCTGCTCGCTCTTGTATTCGGTCTTGCGCTTGCGAGTGCACAGGATCGTCGCGTGAGAAAGAAGGCGAATGTGAGAGAGCCCTAATTTATAAGATTGTTTGCTTTCCCGTAATTGCCAAAGTTGCTCGCGCGAGAAACTTTTTCAGTTTGTAAATCACCGGCTGAGAGTCCCTTGGAAAATGAGCTAGTGGGCCGTGAGAATGCCATCTTCCTCTCGTTATGGCGGCTCAGGCTTCTAGCCAAGGAATTGCGAGGCGATAGCCAAACTGCTCGTACGACTTCTTACGAGCACTTTGCGCTTTAAAATGGTACTTGAATAGTGTCGGATTTTCCTGCGAAACTCTTACAAATTTTCTCGAAAATTTTATTTACGACACCTTCGGTTTTACAGTACGTTATTATAATATTCCTGATAATTATATTGTCCTTGATATATCGTAATTTCATTTATATTATAATGCATTTAATTTTGTCGCAATAGAAGAAGCTCGTATTTTGCATTCTTACTTATGTTTTTATTAGAAACTATTCTTTTGCTTTCTGCAGGAAGATCCAAGGGCAACACGAGCAACTCGACAAGGAGTACAGAATTCACGCTGCTGGTATTCTCTTATGCAACTCAAGGGGCTCCGGAAAGGTAAGGATAGACGTTATTATTATTTTTTTTACTCATGATTCTCAGAAGACAAATGATCTCTTTTATTATTGCGCGACGAATTATCGTCTTTCGCGAAACTCGAACACTGTCGTTCGTTGACATTTGATGCTCGAGTTTTGCTCCTTGAATCTGGTCGACCGTTTCTTCGAGATAACGATGTCGCACTAATCGACATTCTCATCAAAGTACTTTCATAAATGTTCTACTTCCGTCCAATTTTCATGAATTTAACGCGGGATATCTCCGCCTAATTAAGCTTTCGTTTAATGACGGGCTGTCATTAAACAAATAAATAAAAATGCCCTCAAGAACAATATTTAAAGAGATACGTAAAAATAATGGCGTTAATCATTAAAATAATCTATTTGTTATATATAAAACTCTTTTTATTTATAAAATTTATTTTGAACAAGATATTTGCTCCACATTGTTTTTAGCAATTAAGTTTATTTACGTATAAAATGCATAAATATTTTACATTCAGCATCGGCATTCTTTGTTTTTAAAACTGTGTTAAGTTCTTATTTTTTACAAAAACAAAATATTTTTATTAGTATATCATATGCAGCATTGCTGTAAATATAAACGTTGATTGGATACTCTTCTAACATTGGAAATTAAAGGAATACCGAGAGATACTTTCGTTCATTTTTTTACAGCTTCTGAATTATTCCGATTAATTAGAAAAATTTCAGATTCCTTGTGCTATTATACTGAAGAGGAAGATAAATGATTCTTTCCTCGCAAAAGTTATTACTATGAAAAAAAGAAAACTTTAGAGAACGAGTGCTTTTTTTGAAATCCCATTGGTCTTGCCCCTTTATTGCCACGCTTGATGTCTCTAACAATCACTTCGCTTCCAGGAACTATGAAGAAGCTTTAATAAGCTCCGGTAAGCTGTTATTAGACTCGGTACATAATAGACTATGTCTTCCTCCGTTCCACTTTGCATCGTCGGACTTTCAAACGACACTCGCGCGCGTGTCGCGCTCTATTCTTATCATTAAATAATCTTAATGCAAGAAATTTATAAGGGGCTAATATACAAATCTCTTTCCTTACTTATTCGATAATTAAGTTTCGTAAAGCATTAACATAGTTTCTTGTTATGAATTCTCGTCACCGTTATAATTACGTTCTTTCTTTGAAAGTGAGTTCCACGGGAGCTGTAACGCTAACGACACCGTGAGAATATAATGAATGATAACGGTATCTACTTGTTATGAATTTTTTTGTAAAATTGGATTGACTATTACAACACACTTTGTTTTTCAAATTATTAATTATAATATCACGCGCAAATTTTAATGTTGTTAGCTACACGTTAATAATAACTTATAATTGCCTATAATTATTAATTCATATTATACGTTTCTTAAAATAAAAAGCTCTCCTTAAGATTGTTAAAATTGTTAAAACAAACTATGATTGCATGATATTATCATTTTTATATGTAGGTTTTTCAATATTTTATGAATTCTAAACAAAAAACTTTTACTTTAATAATTTTTCAATTTAATTAATTAATTACATTAATTTTTCAATTTAATTAATTAATTTTTTAATTTGAATAATACAATAATAAATAATGTTAAATAATGTTAAATTTAATCATTAACATATCGTATCGCATTTTGATATGTTGGATGTATCAATATATATTTCGAATAGATGTGTGGAAATGGCTCTTTTACTGGGTACGTTAGACTAACACTCATCGCAAGGGTGTGTTTATTTTTAATTTTTTCCAAAGCCCTTTAAATTTTTTTCTTTTTCTCCAATATTTTTCTTTAAATAAAAAAATACATTCGCGATTTTTTTTTTATTTTTGATACATATGTTCGGATATAATGTAAAGCCAAAAATTGAAAGATATATATTTTTTCAAATTAGCTCGATACAAGGCACATAATTCTGACCCACTCTATAAAAATATTTTATATATCAAATTTTTATGATATTTATAATACTTGTATAATCATCTATTTTTTTTCATATTTTATATTTAATTTCAAATATTGACGAATTTTAATAACAAGTATAATTTTTTTTAAAGCAAAAATCTTTTTAAAATATCTTTGCTTTAAGCTTCAACAGTTAAGATTTTTTTCAACATTTTCTTTACTTGATTATAAAATATATCGAAACTTTGAAAAGAAATGTTCAATTTCCGAATGTGTAATAAAAATACATATGTATATACGTATCCTTTATCTCGAATTATTCTATAATACGTCCGCATGTGCAACCATAATATTTAAAAATTTAGAAAAAATATTAAAATATTACAAAAAATGCGATAAAATGTGATACATATTGAAAAAACGAATTGAAACACAATTCACATAAACAGTTATTAAATATGATAGTGTTGACATACATGGCATGCATAAACGTCATTTGCAAAATATATAAGGGCTTAAAATTCACGGGCGGTTTATTCGTCAGCAATAAACTTCAGGCGATATTTTGTTAGCTTAAAGGCGATGTGAATGCATCGCCTAAGGAATGAGCGAGTTTGCCGAGAAAATCAGTAAGATAGACGACCCGTGCTTTGACATTATACAACGAGACGCTTCGGCCGTAATATATTCAATTTCTATTCCTTCCTGCACCGGAGCTCGTCTCACCTTTTAGTAAACGAAGCCTTGGCTATCATCGCGCTATAAATCCATTTACCGTCAAACTTTTTAGTCTATATTAATATCAGATACTAATTCCCTACGAAATGGCATGCAAATTGAATCGACATTTCTTATTTATACACGTATAGTGTTTTGTGTGTGTGTGTGTGTGTGTGTGTGTAGATTTATAAAAATATGGAAATTTAATTTTATACATACTTTTTTATACATAATTCCGATAATGTAAATTATTCTCTACTCGAATAACTCCAGAGATGGAATATCTGACTCATCGTCCTTAGACTTGGAATTTTTTAATAAAAAGTCAATGTGATACGTGACGTTGAATTATCCGTTATATAACGAACGATCCTATCGAGTTTCTTGTTACCGAAGGGAAGCGTATAGTCCAAAAGAGCATTTAACTTTCAAGAACATTGGCGCGCGGAACAAGATAAACCCCTTGGGCGTTTCATCGCTGAATCTGCCGCGTAATAGATTCAATTTCTTTGGTCACTACTTCTCCTCGTTCTCCTTACTTCCCGTCCTCTTCTTCCACGAGTCCGGGCTGAGAGAACCATCTTCGGTAAATGAAAGTTTGGCGGGATTATCGCGCTTTCACGAGAACGAAATATAGCCGCGCCGGGTACCATCGCGCACCCTTCGAAACGTTCGAGGGTCGTCGATTCTATCTCGAGCTTAGCATCTTTGAGCTGCGAGAGAAACTAAAGCTCCCAGGAGTTGTGGATTCTAAATCAGAGTACGGTAGGATGGCGAAGGACGTTATAACGTCATATGGCATCGAAAAATGGGGTCGTATTTAGGTCATCGCGGTTTCAAGTAGGCAATGGAGTTTTGTGTTGAAGTAGACGGTAAAGAATAAGGATTCTGAAAACGGCAAGAAATGCACGCCGAAGAAATGCAAAGAGCAATGGAAAAAAAGTCAGAGAAGACACGTCGAAGAAATGTGCGCATTGTGACAAAACGAATGAGGCGGGAGGGAGAAAGGAAAGTTCGTGAAAAATAACAAAAATGATGCAAAACGCTCGATGTTTCGAATGGAAACGCAACCGAGTGAATTATGCGGCAGGGAAACTACGTAAGAGCTGGACGACATTGAGAAAATCGAGAGACAGAGAGAGAGAGAGAGAGTGATGTAACGGGAAGCTGAACAGGCTGTCGACGGTAAATCGAGATGTAAGATACGAACCACCAGCAACAAAAATAGATCGGTTTCGCGAAACTGAATAACGACGCTTACCAACCGCGAGCACGTCACATTCTTCCTCACGTCCTCTTCTTTCCCTCGATTTCCTTCCGGCCATCCTTCCTCTCTTTCGCGGTCATCTTATTCTATTCACGTTCGACGGACGAGGACGGGATGCATTAACGGTGTCCAATTACAGGACAGTACTTTGGCTGCGGGTCAGGCGCATTACCTCGTCTTACACTTAAAGAGAAGTGACGATACTGTTATCTAGAGTGCGAAAATAATCAATTAATTTGCAAGTATACGTACACAGAGAAAAATATCATTCTACTGCCAAGAAAAGCAATTACTCAATTTATTTTTCCTTTTTTTAAGTAATAGTTTTCTTCAACAACGAATATATTCTTGATAATAGTCTTAAAATATATCCCAAGTGTTAGAAAATTTCATTATCATGTACACGAAAGAAGAATTTATGTTCTCTTCAAGAATATTGTAAAATTATGTCAAAGAAAAATCAAACTTACTTTACGCCAACTTTATGTAGCAAGCAAATCAAATTTTTGTTTTAATTTAATTTTCTCGATTAACATACTGTGCTTATTAAAATTCAGAATATATTCAATAAAATTTAATGCTTGTGGTAAACTTGTGATATATTTGCGGATATACAAACTTATGATATACTTGAAATAAAGAATATTTAGTTGAATACAGTATACATTTTTCTCTGTGTACGTTTACGACGATAAAAGACGAGAAAAGAAAGAGTATCTTAAAGAATAATATAAGCTAACGCAGATATATGAAATAGATAAGAAATCTAAAGATTGAAAAATTGTTTTTGATTTACACAGAAAAAAATATCATTCTACTGTCAAGAAAAGCGATTACTCAATTTATTTTTCTTTTTTAATAGTTTTCTTCAACAAAGAATATATTCTTGACAATAGACTTAAAATATACTCATCCCAAGTGTTAGAAAATCTCATTATCATGTACACGAAAGAAGAATTTATATTCTCTTCAAGAATATTGTAAAATTATGTCAAAGAAAAATACAAACTTACTTTACGCCAACTTTATGTAACAAGCAAATCAAATTTCTGTTTTAATTTAATTTTCTCGATTAAAATACTGTGCTT